GAAAATAAAACTCACTCTTATAAGAATTATATCTCGATTTTAAGATTGTTTTTAAAACTTGACAGTACAACCAATTTCTTACCAAATTCTAATTAGCAATTAGAATTTGAATAACTTTAACTCATCTTACTTAAAAAGCCTTTTTGTTATAACTCTTACTTGAGAAAAAGACGAAACACTTTTGCATTTATTAATTATTGTTAATTGATCGGAAGTTAGTTGGTTTTCTTTGAAAAGTCAACTAATTTCTGGTCAATGATGATAATTACTTAGTTTGTTGGTTGCATTTCCACTTTTAATTACACTTTTTTAATGTTTCCATTTTAAATATCTAATGAGTTACTCCATTTCAATAGAATTCTAACTACTTTTGTCAAAGGAGATAATATACTAAATAATCTATTAGAAAGTAAATTATTATTACTTTGCAGCTTAAGTGCAAGTATTAAGCAATTTATTACGATTGATTAACTTCCAAGTAGCACATGACGTAGCAAAGACATTACTACGATCACTTTGCAACCTCTTGGACCAGTTTGCAATGTCTTTGCTACGTCATGTGCTACTTGGGTTGTTTACTTATATATATCTAAGATATAACAAAATACAATGGATGCTTTAAGAAATAAATGGCGACCTCAAATAAACGTTTCTAGATTATATGCTCTCCCCCTAAATTCATCTGTTCTCCCAAATTCGAGATCTTTCAAGGTTACATAACGCTGTTTGAAAAAAGTAACTAAAACTAACCAATCACAGTTTAGAGTAGTTTCTGGATCTACTAGGTATAAATACTGCTCACAAGAAAATATGTCATCCTTTTTCTTAGCTCCTGCCATGCTGTGAACTCTGCGCTGCTTTGCCTTGCTAAAATGCCTGCATCGTACTTTTAAAACTCGTGTACCTAAAAATTATTGTATTCAACAATGATTGAAAAGTAATTTGTCTGCCAAGGAAATGATTTGATGTGAAGGTCTACAGCCAGAAGTTAAAGCATAGGATTCCTCCTATGCATTAACCGTTTGACTGTGCGCCGCGAGTTTCAGTGCGTCTTTGTTGCTCCGTGGGTGTGAACATACAGTCTGACCTCATGCATCCTTTGTAATATGAGTGTATTCTAAATTAACTGCATCGTGGTTTTTGAGACAAATGAATGCAGCGCTTTTGCACAGCGTAGCAGTTAAAAGGGTATATATATACTTTTGTTGCAACCAATTACAATAAAAAAAAAGGGGGTGCGCAATTAGATGTTATAGCAATCCCATACCAAAATTTCAAAGCTCTATGGCTAATTGTTTTCCAGTTATGCGAGTTACATATGTATAAATGTAAAGAATATTCATTTCACTATGCATTTTGGAATAAAGTTCTTAATTCTGTCCATATGTACAGATCTTATGCAAAATAGTCAAAATGGATATTTCCATTAAAATACGATAACTGAATCTTTTTGTGTTTACAATACATTTACTCTGTACAAGGAAGTAAAAATGTTGCTAAATGGAATTTTATTTCTGAATACATCTTGTATAATTTAAAATACGGTTTTAAATAAAGTTTTCCCCACTAATTATGGAAATGCAATTTATATTTCTTAACAATTATGAACTATTTGTCATCATTATTATTACTTAAAATCTATATTGCTTCAACTGTATTTTTTAACACATAATTGGGCCACTTAAAATTTCTATCAAGTAAGTCTATAAAAACACCAGTTATGAGATTTAAAATGAGAACAATAAATATGAAGTTTAATACATTATATAAAATAAGTTTTGAGTGTGGCTTTAGTAATAATTTTCAACTAGAAAGAAAATAGTGAAGAAATTTTATTTCAGTTTTTCATTAAAGCAAAACAGATTTCAGGAAACAGTAAAGATATTTATAAATATATTTTGTACTATTAACAGATGATAGTATATGTAAATTGCATAGTTTGATGAATATTTTACATAACCATTTCTTTTCTATACACAACTAAATCCTTATGCACTATTCTCACAAATGACTATATGTGCAATTATATAGAAAGGTACATCATGGATTTTATGCATGAAATTGTAAAAAACATACTGATAATTATTGCCATTTTAAATTTGCCACTAATTCATGTAGGATTATTGAATATTATATATAATATCTTTTTTTAAAATCACAAATACACAAAAATTGGCTCATCATACACAAATGAACAATATAACTTAAACTGGTAGTTTTACTCCCGTTAAAAACAGTTCAGCTATAATATGAACTTTCTATTATTATGTAAAATAAAAGTCAGTTCACATACATTCCATCATGAAAAGCTCCAAGACGTGTGCATGATAATAAGCTAATGAATGTTACTTTAAATAAATTACATTAGTCATTAAAAATAACTAACACAGCTGCCAACTCTCCTGGTTTTTCTGGGAGATCACATCTCCCAGAAAAACCAGTAGATAAATATCCCAGTAAATTACACAATCTTCCTTTACAAAGGATAATATTTCTCAATAAATGAAATTTAATGAATTAATAATGCAACTTCACTTGTGTAAATTCCTTCCCCCACCACTAGTGATTTTCAGCATTTTTCTTAAAGAAATTTTATTTGATCTAAATACTTTTAATCTAGTACAGACTTCACAAAATGAAATTAGCCATAGAACATAAAATTTAGAATATCTAACCAAACATTGACACATTTTACATCAGAATAATCATATTACATATAGTTCAATAATCAGAATTAAGAAGTATAAACTAAATTCAAGCCAATTTGGAGTTTTGAAATAATGTCAACATGCAGCCGCCCCCCCCAAAAGAAATTATATAGTTTTTTTATTATGATTTAGAATCTAAATATGTATAAATAAATGCTTTTTAATTAAAATTCTAAAAACAGTAAATAGAATATACAGTCAAAATTCTTTAATCTGGACTCATTGGGACTTCAGCGATTCTGGATTATCGGTTTTTCCAGATTATAGATCATCAGTTTAAATCTGGTAAGATTGCATGCAGAAATTATAAAATTAAAAATATGAAACCGTAATTTATGAAATAAAGAGCAATTATGATCATAGGGTATCAAAAATTTACAAAAAAAAAAAAAAAAAAAAAAAAAAAAAGAGAGCTTTATATTTATTTGTTTTGTTTACTTTATTAAACATTTCTTTCAACGTGTGCATGCGCAAAGCATACACTGTGCATAGTTGAAATTAGAAAATTGCAACCAGAAAACTATTTGATTAAAATTGATTCGATTCTTTCAACGCGTGCATGCGTAAATGTATTATGCACATGCGTTGACGCATGCACAGAAAGTTTGTAGCTTTGAGGTCCGGATTATAGATCATTCCGGATTAAAGACTTTTGACTGTAATAAAAGAATGGTTTCAAATTACTTTACATACTATATAGAGGAAGCACCTTTAGGTATATTTTAATATAGAGATTTAAGTATTTAAAAACTTTTCATTATAAATGATTAACACATATTTAAGCTGATCAAACTGAATTCTCCATTTTTGAAAGTTCATTAATGCTTTCTATAAGGGGTTACATTTTGGAAAACTTGATTAGATACAAATTATTCATTAATTTGTTCTCAACATATATCAGAAATGGCTAAATGAAACCCTGTAAGATTGCAGTCCATAGCAAAGTTAACGAAATTTATTATTACCAGCCATGATTTCCTAACACTATTTATAGATTCCTGATAATTTTTCAAGTTTTATTTAAAATAATAACAACAGTGAAAACTGGTTTTAACAAACCTTCTTTGTATGAGTGCCCATTGTGTTTTTGTTACTTGCAATACAGTTTAAAGATATATATTTGAAACAGATATAGTCATTATCTTAAAATAACTACCTTTCCTTATTTCAAGATATATTTCAGAATATTGATTAACAAAGTATATATAGTCTATAGCACCAACAGACATTTTATATTGCTCTCAGAATTTGGCCTTTACTAATGCAAATGAATGTAAACTTCAGTTGAACAACAATGACTTTGAATGCAAACTGGGCATTCTGTGAGAAACAACTACATAACAAATATAAATATAAACACTGTGGGCACTCATAAAATGCACACAAAAGCAGTGTTTTCTGAAATATACAACATTATCTATCTGTACATTGTTTTACATCAGATTAAAATTGGGGGAAAAAAAATGCAGAAAGCTTGTTGCATCACATCAACTTTAAAGATGTTGACTTGCAATCAAATTATTTCACCATATAAAAGTTATAATTTCACAGCTTCACATTTTATTATATTGCTTTATATTATAAATAACAACATAAAATGGATGGTAATAACCCATTTTTAAGTACACTAGCCAGCCATACTTCAAATCTATCTAACAATGTTAATAATGAAAATAAATTACAAAGAGTATCACAAAAAGAAAATATCCCAACTTACTCTAACAAAGTAACAATTAATTAAACTTTACATGTAAATATGATAGAAATTTAAGAAAATAATAAATAGTTTAACAAAAGTTATTTGTATTTCTATAGAAATAACATGAAGCAGTATTTAAAATACATTAATACTAGTAGTCAAAGAAATAACCATATAATTTAAAACAACAAAAGCTTATACTGGTTTTAAAATCTAGATTGAACAACACTAATAACCTGGAATGCCAACTGGCACTCTATGTGAAATAATTACATTGAAATAGAAGATTTATGATTTCTCACAGAACAAAAAGTATCTTAATAAAGCTACCCATGATTATTAGGCAGACATTGATTTGCAAGATTATACCAGTTCGATTATTAAACTGATCACTTGGTTACTAAATATTACAACTTTCCCATTGTCAGATAACTATTTCACTGTCAAATGTTAAAATATGTAATTATCTAAAATGTAATATTCGCAGTAACCTTCTGCAGATAAGTCCTACGTGTGTGCTACAACAGAAGTAGTAATTAATAAAAATAAATATACAACAGAAAAACTAAATATATTTAATTTTTTATATGAAGTTTTTTTTTTTTTTTTTTTTTTTTTTTTTTAAATCTCTCAATTTTTAGCAATACAGGAGTAAAGAAAAACCCATGCTTACCATCAATAAGTAGAATATTTTAGCTCTAAATGAAGGGGGAAAAAATTTAACATTTCAAAATCTTTATTATTATTATAGTTTCTAAAAATGAAGCTTAGCTACAAAGCTCTATTATCTTTGCTTTTCTATAGCAAAAACTGTAAAATAAAAATTACTTTTAATGGGATAATAAATGGAATATTAATGAAAAAAACATTGTTAAGTTACTTATACAATTGTACATGCAACTAAGGATAGAAAATCTGAAGGAGTATTCACTAACACCAAACATACTTACTGCTGCATGATTTCCATTTTCTTTCGAAAAACTGAACGATTTTGCATTTGAAAACAGCATTTTGTTTGCTCCCTTTAGCAGCAGTGTATTTCAACTAAAGCAAATGCAATTTACTAAATCTTTGATGTTCATTTCAAAATTACAGCTTCAAACAACTACAGAAAGAGAAAACATCCGACTTCTAATCCTGCAGATTCATTCGAGTCATTCTTACCCCAAATTACCTCCTCTTCTCAAAACCCTAGAAAATTTTTATGTACAACTGTACTGAATACAATCTACCTTCCTTTCAGAATTATTTGCTCTCTCAAGCATCTTCCCTACACATATTGTTCCCTTTATCGCTTGTCAATTCAGTATACCATTGTTCGACAGTCTGGGAAAAATCTTCCAATGAATAACTTCAAAAGAAAAGAGCATCGCACATGTATCTTTCAGGTTTCTTCACAAAGAAAAGGGTCTCTGTTACATGACGAATTCGTCTAAAAATTTTAAAATATAGTTTGATACTATATTTAAATATATTTGATACTATATTTGAGTGTTATATGTCGGAATATAAGGTATTTGTCTATTTATTTAGAAAATTATTCTGCATTAGTATGTAAAATTTGTTCAAAATTTTATATTAAAATAACAACAGACACTAAAGAAAAATATGCTTAAGGTGACGTTAACCTTTTACAAGCTAATTTTTCTAATCAGAAACATCAAATTGTAAATTCATTTCAAAATAAAATTTCATTCCCATTGACTCAAAAATATACCATTTATTCTTAATGTAAAAAAAGTCTTTTCAGATACAAAATGGGCAATGTGCAGAAATTTAGAAAAAAATGCCCCTCCCCCCTTTTTTGGTCATTCATAGGGTACAACTTAAAAATTCATATAAAATTAAAAAATGATCTAACGTTTCTAAAAAACAGCAGACATAATTAAAATGTTCATTTTACTAGAAAAACATAAAATACAATATTAATATGAAATGCATTTATAATTCATTAAATTTCCTAGTTCCTAACTGAGAACACTGGACAGTATCCATTCTTCTGTGAAACATAGAAATCCCCTTACTGTGAGTTTCTATCAAAAATAAATATAAACTTCTTTCCTTATATTTTTAGGAAAGAGAAAATCTTACATTTCAGAAAGGAAATCTCTTGGTACTAGGCACTTGGTATACAAGGTACAGCACCTTTTGGTACTAGGATTGTCAATAACATTCTGTCAGTTGTTACTAACCCTTTCCAAGTAAATATAATTTTTGATAATGTTTTTCACATCTTATGATTTGAGAAAGGAACTTTCAAATAAAAAAGGTTACATTTGACCTGGTTTCCAAAGAACAATAAAATACAGGTATAAAATACGTGATTTTTCAGACAGAAAAGGGATGTTTTTTCCATTTAAATTTATAAATTTTCAGCTGAATTCTAATCTAGCTGTGTTTCAATTTAAAACTAAATCCTGCATAATTACTTACTAGTTTGCTTATTATTTGGTCAATTTTATTTCATTGTATTCCATTTTTAAGAATAGCATAATGAGCTTAATCAGAAGTGGCTAATGTTCCTCATTGAAAACATCATACATATTTTTTCCACCTTCATTTTAGTGACTGATATTTTTCAACTAAAGGATTAGTGGAATACACAAAAAAGTAATTGGAAATAAACAGAGATCTGAAATTGGCCTTTAAAAGGTTAAACAAACATTTTACAGCTGCAAAATAATTGAATATATGGGCAGTGTAATGTTAGAAAACCAAAAAAAGTAGGCTGAATTAGCTAAGAAACTATATTTTCAGGATCAAGTTTAGCAATTACAATTTTTGAAATCTTTTTATATTTTCTGACCGTATAACAAATTCAATCTCACATTCCTTATTTAGTTCAGTTTTTGAGTTTTTGCGATAGGCCGATTCATTTTTCATTAATCTGCGTTTCAATAATAAAATATTACATATATTTTTTTTTTTTTTTTTAAAGCAAACTGCTTGGCATAAGTTTTTTAACTCTCTAAATAATTTATTATTGTGAAACTGAAGACAGCAAAAAAGAATGATTGGTGCTTTCATAAACTGAACACCTCTGTAAGCTGCTGCAAACCAAACTAATAGTATCATATAATCACTGGACTTTCAAATGAAGTAGTTCAAGCAACCATGGATTTTTTACTGATACAAAAGACTACATATGTAAAATCATAATTTACAAGCAAGTTTTCAAAGAGTGTGCTGAAGTTATCCAAGCTTGATTTCATGTAAGTGATAGTGCATGATCATGTTTTCTTGAAACTAGAGGATATAATTGTAGAAAAAGATGTAAAAGACCCAAAACAGTAATATCAGTATTTGTAAATGTTAAAGAACACTTACTGCTATCACTGGACAATACAATTTGCAACTGCATGTCATATATCTTTGTTCAATAAACGACTTAAGTTTTGATTATATTCCACAGTATTAGAATCAAGGCTGTTAAATATTTAAAAATGTGTTCACTGTTGTCATTATTTTAGACAAATTGTGTAAACTATTTATAACTAGTTCAGAATTAGTACATATATATTTTTTGGCCCAGTGAGGCATACTTTTTATCTACACTAATACATCTAAGACAACATGAATAGCAGAAAATCTGTGCAAGTTATACAAAGCTTTATTCCATATAGAAAAAATAGCAATTATTTTATATATATATAAAAAAAAACTATTAGCTTATTTTCTTTCACAATACCATAACTTCTACAGTATATGCAGCTATTGTGCAATAGTTTGAGAGACTGCTATAGGAAGACAAATGATGCTGCTTGCATCAGCAAGACAGAACAACAAATCAAACAAAACAAGGCTACTGAAAGAATTTTTAACAATCAAGTTCTCAAAAAATCTTTTGCTTCCTTGCTGTCTGGTATTGACACCATTTATTTTCTCTTATGGAAGTACCTAAAAGATACAACAACATGTGATCTTACATTGTACACTGTAACGTGGAAGAAGCAATCAAGAAGTGAATAAAGTGTATAAAACTGCTGAACAGTGGCAATTAAACCCATTTAGAAATCCTGAAAATAGGTTGGCAACATCGATATTCTTGTGGTTTTCCCATGTGTCATGTATATAAACCAGTTTTCCTTAGAAAGGCATCCTTTCCCTTAGCAGATAACTTTCAAATGCTGTTTCATACCCAGTTAAATAAACTGACCATGGCATAGCTTATCCAAAATATACAATATATTAATCAATAAACTGGATTATCAATCAATAAATCAAATCTCTACAATACATCATTCAATACACTTCTGAATAAAACTCTAAAAGTCAATTATTAATAACTTTCCTGTTGGTTTATATTAAGTTAATGTGATGCTTTCCTTTTTACCGTCTTCTATTCCATCATAATTATTTTACGTTTCTCAGAGATTGGGAGCTTTTGGCATAGCGTACAATACTCAGAAAGAGTTAAAATGAATGAAACATCAAAACACATATATAAATATCATATCACAATTTTTAAACTAAAAAAATATTTAAAAATTAACTGAAAATCAAGAAAAATCAAATTCTGCAACTTATTGTTAAGAAATCTATAAATTTTGATGCATGAAATTGACTTGATTATTTGATACAAAATTAATGAAGTTATTTGGATATTTTTATTTCATTAACAACAAATTCTGATTTTAAAAACATCTTTATAAAAAGTTCAGAAATAATATTTAAAAATATTTTTACAAATTACAATAGACATGATGCAAACTAGGGCATTTCCATGTCATGATGATTCCATGGACATTTTGATTGCAGCTTCCAGCATTTCTTGCTCACTCATTTCTATATTAAAATAATAATAATAATTGCATACTCTAGTAATTTTCCAACAAATTTAAACATCATGATATGATTTCCAACAATAACTTTTGAATCAACACACCAAATAATTATGCTACAATCAAAAGTCGTTAATTCGGACCTTAAAGCTAAAAACTTTCTGCGCATGCACCGTGTTGACACATGCGCATAGGCGTTTACGCGTGCGCGTAAGACCTTTACACGCACGCGCATATGCGTGTGCGCAAATGAAGAATACGTTTTCGCGTGCGCATTTAACGTATAACGGACGGTATAAGCTAAAATTATACAATTATCTATTTCAGTTAATGCTGATGCTTGCGTTATTCCTTAATCTTCGAATTGGATGCAGCTTATATTTTTTGCAGACTGTAAGAGCAATTTTATAAAAGTAAACTTGAACTTTCGATTATGTCAATTTCCGATTCTGGAGCTCCCAAAGGATATACAAAACGAAAGTATGTCTCGATGTCCGTCAAACAAAAAGTGGAATTGCTGCAAAAAATGGATAAAGACATGAAGAAGATGACAGAGAGGTTAGTGAAAATGAAAAAATTTCGATTGACAAGTTAGTCAGTATTCTCGGCACAGCAATTACGGGACTTGAACAGCAGAGCTTTTTAACCTGAACAAGAAATTATGTTATTATAGAATTAAAGAGAAAGTATTATCACATAAAACAAAACAACTTACATTGAAAGAAATGTTTAATAAAGTAAACAAATAAATATTAAGCTTCTTTTTTTTGTAAATTTTGATACCCTTTAGATCATAATTGTTCTTTATTTCCTAAAATACGGTTTCATATTTTTAATTTTAGAATTTGTGCATGCCATCTTACGAGATTTAAACTGATGATATATAATCCGGAAAATTGATAATCCGGAATTGCCGAAGTCCCGATGAGTCCGGATTAACGACTTTTGACTGTATATAAATAAACATCCATAATCTCAAAATTTTCTTTAAGACTTAAGGCCCATCTACACGAAGCGATTTTCTCAGCCGACTTTCTAGTAGAGCAACAATTTTAAGGATCTGCGCATGCGCCAAAAATGGGTCATGTTCTCTGCCATGATTTCAGAACTGGTGTTCACTGCTCACTAGCGTACGATAAAATCGAACTCTCTAGCCAATAAGATTGCTTTGAGTGATCACGTGCTTTTCTCCTCATTTGGAATAATAAACATGGCTGCATTTCGTTGGAGTGAAACTCAACTAATAATTTCTATAGAGAAAATGTTGTGTTGTAGGACACGAGTAATGTAAATTTTAAAAATAAAAAATTAAGGGATTCTCTTATTTTGATAAGATTTGTCTTCCCCATTGCTTTATATATTCAAATATTTTCTAACTCCGGGTGAAAATGATTTTAACTCCCCTAAGAAAAGTTCCAAAAACTATTAATGATGCCATGTCATGGGTACTGGATAAAAATATTCAGAAACTACTTGAAACTGGTCGCATTTATTGAAAAAATTCAAAAAGCAAAATCTCCAGTAGAGAATAAAGCAGCGCTGACTCAACTGACTTTGCCGAAAATGGGAGTTAATCAGGTGACGAAGTACATAGCTTTTCCGACAGCTCATACACGAGTGATCATAGCCTAGTGGTGAAGAGCAGACCGGATTTTCTCCGTACGTCCAGATCGTGGGTTCGATCCCCCACCTTAATTTTGGACTTTCTGCGAATGCCCTGGCAAGAACTTTTTAATTTCGTTTTCTCCATCACTAAATTCGAACTGCATGACTTAAAAGTCACTTTTTATTTTTTCGCCTACGGGTGGTGGTGTTTATTGAATTTTAACCCTTGTTTTTCTTTTTATTTTTTGAATGGCCGTTGGCATGTGTTTTAGATCTACTGGTAAAAACTTTAGTAGCTGCGTAGCAGCTCAAAAGTCAAGTTAAATCACAAACTCAGTTTTGTGTTAATTGAATTTTACGAAAGCAAATTATAGCCCAATTTAATTCAATATTGCTAAATTTTATTCGCTGATTAACTGATAGAGTCATATAATCATAGTTTTCAGACTATATTAGTTATTTAATTATGCTGATATTAGTTTTTTAATGTTCAATAAATATACTACTTAAGACTTTGCACCTTTATGATAGTTCTCATTTAAAATTTTTGCACTGAAATTACACTGTTGCTTTGTAATGTAGTAATCTTTATTCTTTATTAATACTTTTTACTCATATTGGTTTGATATTCATGATATTATTGTCTATTTATTCATTAATAAAGGTTTTGATTTAAAGCACAGTAGTTACTTATTTTTTCTGAAACATGGTTATTTTATTATTTCAAGATTTAAATGCACAAATAGGAGTACTAGAAAGTAAAATTTAAAAATAAATAAATAAACTAAAAAAGGAGTAATCTGTGTACTCAGTACACAAAAGATAAGTGTTTTTTTTAAATATTTATTTATTTTATTTTTTTATTTTCCTGCAAACTAAATTTAGCAAAAAATTGAAATCACGTGGCATCATCCGTAAATACTTTCCGAATTGTACTGTGTCTTCAATGCGCAACTCACGGAGCAGGGAATTACGAAGGCACTATGAATTTCTCGTCGTTTGACACAATTTCTGGTCCAAACGCATTTTTTTCCGCTTCTGTAGCAGTAGCTAAGTTCAAAATTGTAGCTGTATCTATAGTAGCAATTTAAAATAGTCATCCATTATTTTGACTATTTGACAACACCGTAAGCTTTGTTTACAAATTGTAGACAGTGTGACGCTGTAGAGGGCAGGAACACTTCCTTTCATAGTGATTGGCTGAGTGAATTCCTGTACTAACGAGAAAATCGTTCTGTGTGGACAGACGAGCTATCTCAGATATTGTCGGCCAGATAAGTTGGCCGAGAAAACCGCTATGTGTAGACGGGCCTTTACGGATGCCATCTTTTGAATAACACATTTTTGCCAGTTTGTATGCATAATTAATCATGAACACTGACTTTTATATTGATTCGCTATATGTGTAAGTTACATTATTATTACGACAGACACCATGTATTGCTGACAGCTGGAAGCACTGTAGTTTCCATTTTTTTAGGGGGGGAGGTTATTGAATTTTTATAGCTCAGTGGCTGGTGGGCCTGTAGTTTCCATAGGTAAGCATGAAATTGCAAAACATTTATTAAATCAATTAATAATAAGCAACAGGACCTAGATCAATACAACTAAATTTGCATTGCTACAGTTTTGGAGGTGTCAGTGTTACAAGCAGGCTTTGGGATTTAGAGCAAACAGCTTAAACAAATGGATTTTTCTGCAAATGAGATCATTACATAGTTCTTCAACGCATAGCACAGCAGTTGAAAGTGCAGCTATAATTTATGATATTCAAAGGCATATTTGCAAGCCCCACTGTGTTGCAAAGCATAACTGCAGGTTAAAATGAGCCATGGAGTAACAGTTCTAGGTATTGAGGTGTCTATATAGTGGGTAAAGCTTCAAAGAAGCAATTCATATCATTTTGTTTACAATAGCATAATAAACTGCTGTGTATATTTTAACTGTTGGTAGCAGCACCATCTATAGATGAGAATTAGAAATGTTTAGTTTCCATCAACAGCAAATAGCCATAACCTTTGGGTTTACTAGTAAGTATTTTGATAACTGGAGAGAGCATATTTCAAGTTCAGATACTTTGCATGTTGTGCTTTTTCTGCAAGCAAGACTGCTAACCCTGAAAACCTTCTTCGGGTGTCAAATTGTATTTAAATTCTGTGTTATCTAAAAAATTTAATATAATCTTCATCTCTGAAGGATTACTTATCATGGGTTGTAACACTTTAAGTTAAGCATTATATTCAGTATAAGCTTTAGAAAGCATTTGAGTTCATTTAGAAAATACTGAAGACTGATATTGCTAGTATCAGTAAGTGAATCAATAGATTAAATGAAACAATGCTATTAAAAACGATCCTTGGCAAATGGGCTAGCCACATGACTATTTTAATTGTTTTTCCCATGTATAACATAGATATGAGCTAGTTTCCCTTAGAAATTATCCCTTCCCTTAGACAAATAGCCCTCATATGCTTGCAATAATTAAACCAACCAACCTACTAAAAGGATTCTTCAGTTCTTGAAAGAATTTAGAAAAACGAATTTGCAATAGAAGCATACATGTTTATTCAATACATGAATTTAACTTCTAAATTGTCCCAAAGCAAAATGATACAAAATGGTCTCAGTAAATGCTAAAATGATATTTATTTTAATTACAAATTTTTAATTTTGCCTTAAGATAAAATTCTGTCATAAACTGTATGGTTTGGTTACCAGTTCAGATTTCAACATTTTCTTTATCCTGCAGCTGAAAATGAAATTAAGGGGTAGATGATTTAAGATCAAAACATTGTAGCTGTAAATGCTTTAGATGAGATTTTATAGCCCTTCAGAAATCAACTTTGATATACATCTTCAAAGAATGGCAATGATGATGGGGAAACCTCATTACTTTTTAACACTAACAGTGTCAGTCTTTATCAAGTACCTCTTATATATTATTTAACTCTACCCAACACATTCTTACCATCAAATATTTTATCATCAAAAATTTATACCATCAAATATTTTATCTTCAGTACTAATTGTAAAATAATAGGCTTAAGTTCTGAGCTTGTTTATAGAAGAATTTTGTATATCTATTTGTGCCAAAACAGCTTTAATAACAAACTTAAATTACAGAATAAAGATTACAAAAATGTATATATATATATATAATTATAAAACAATTTTTTAAAAACAAAATATAAACATGCCTAGTATTTTCGCACATTATGCTGCTGAAAAATTATCAGTAAAGACATAAAGTAAGAAATTAGAGCTAGTTTTTCACAAAGAACAAAAATTAAAATTCATAATTAATAAATTTCAAATAATCCTCCTATAAATGCAAAAAAGAATTAAAAAAAGTTTATAAAAAAGTATTTAAAAAAGTTACACACACACACACACACATAT